CGTTCCCCCCAAAAAAGCAGATAACCCTTAGCAACGACTATGGAAATAATGTTTGAGACGCTCCCTTTATTTCCGGTTTCATCAACAGCTTGTAATGCAAAGAAAGCCGTCCCAGTATAAGATTCCTCTGCGTCAACAGTAATCTTCAGAACTTCGATGTCGCCTGACGGTTTCGGAATAAGTGAATTATTTCCCACTTCAAGTATAGGGGCGTTATCAAAGTCATTAAGTAAGACGTCAACATCGTCGGCAATCCTAAAAATATAGCTTGAAGCTGCAAGGAAAGAAAATCTGGTATCAACAAATGTTCATTTACAGTTGGTTACGTTCCATTATGTATGTTTATAATGTGATTAATATAAATACGTTCAATACAAAAAGCTATTGTACACATTAGAAGGCATAAGACAATTGTTCAAATCTACTGAATTTGTAATTTTGAATTTTAAACGTTAAATATGTCCATGTGATACTGTTAATTTGCTGAAGTCACTTGCATTTAAGTGATAAACATAGGATCACGCTTTTCGTAATCAATCGTATAATTCAAAAATGATACTATTTCCTCATAAATCATTGTGCATTCGATCAATATATATATATTATTCGGATCATTTTATAGATACTATATAATATGATCCGAATAATATATATCATCTCTTTAAAATAATAATAAAAAAAGAAAATAATGACTGAATGTACGTGTTTGTGTGGCTTGTCTGTTTATCTCTTTTAAATGGACATATCGGCGCTAAAAATTAGCTTAATGAGATCGCAATTGAACATAGCCATTTTAAAAATATCTAACTAAAATTCATTATTGTGTTTCTCAAACGATGAATTGAGAAAGGCAAAGGCACCTGTATATTAACACTACATAAATGTCTTTGTTGATATTAAATATATCGCTATACTATTTACATATTTAATAGAATAGATCATTCCTTTAGGCATATAATAATTCAGAAACGATTAAACAAACGAAATCACCAGAAGCGTTGCGTATGAACATGTCAACTGGACTAAATCAAAATGACTAGCTAAGAACAACGCAATCAATCAGTGATTTAATCGAAGACGGGCTGTTACCGTCTAGTCAGTATCAATAATGGTGATATATATGATCAAGGTTTTGACGTAATTGCCTTATTGGCGGGCATCATCGCAGTCAGAAATGTCAAATTATTTGAACTTTGTCTGATGTATATGTATGTATACCACAATTGCATGGGATTGTTCCTCGTGGTACACAAATGTGAGCTCAGAATTGAACTGGATTTTATTTTGAAAGGCCCATGACACTTTATCTTTTACTGTGTACGATTTTTGGCGTACTATCATGCATTCCATAGTTTAAAAACGAAATGTCACTCGTGCAACTAAAACAAATTATCAGGGCAGTTACATGTATGGCAGTTTCCCATTTTAAAGTTTATTAAGAACATTGCAGAATCACATGTTCCTTTAGAATTTCATGATATTTTAAACATTTCATTTTTACAAACCTCTGCCAATGGTTTTATCATCACCGGTTGCTGTCCAAGATATTGTGCAATTTCTTCTTTCTGAGTTACTCAAAGCCTTTGATTGTATATGGTGAATGTTGACGTCAGTAATTTTTCCTGGCGCTATTAAATCATCTGACGTCGTAATATTTTTGTAGTTAGTCACATTCAACTGTTCAAGAATTTGCACACGCTGAAAGGAGCTGTCATAGACTTCAGTGCGCTCATCAATATCACCTGAAAGATTGTATATTCGTTTGTTTGCTTAAGTTGTTGTTTTCTTTCACTTCTTTATTCTTGTTATCGTTGCTATACATAACACAGGCGCTTTGATCATAACATAAACTGCACCTAAATTATTCATCAATATTTAATATGACGTAATTTTTTAGTCCAGGTGTGACATACTGTGAGTTTTCATTCAATAGATATTACATGTATGGAAACAACTAGAATAGTTATATAGGGCCCGTTCTTGTTATAGTAGCTTAATAATAGCATGTGCAAAGTAGAATTGTTGATATCCTCTGCTAAAGGATATGGAAGAAGTCTCTGTCTGTCCGCCCGTCCGTCCGTTTCATATTAGTGTTCGGAGCATAACGTAAAAAGTATATAAGGAATCAACTTCAAGATATACAAATAAAATATCTTATTGAGCAACGATGTAGCACGACATTACATCTTATTCAGCGTACAAGATGTATAACTTTACCTATCACTATTTTGGAGTTTTTGTCTTTTGCTATTGTTCATAGAGCATAGCTCAAAATGTACTTAAGGGGACAGGGGACCTAAAAATGAACAATTTTGTATTTCAGTGTGACCAGAAACACACTTCCAAATATTTCAAAATCTGTTTCACAGGCAGATAACCAGTTGCACAGCATTATTCAATAATATATGACATACATTGAAGAAAATAATAGTTTGCATGCATTGCTCCTTCAAAAAAATGACTGACAGCAATTTATGTTTACCCCCACCCAGCCAAAATCACACCTAAAATATACCAATATGGGCCATCTTCATGAAGGTGCAGCATACTCCAGAATCCGCCCGATTCCTTTAAAAATATCAGTAACACGCAGTGCAAGCTATGGCATTTTCAGAAATGACAAATAAAATGTCTGTCATACGTTGGTTTTTTTCACAAAATTTATCTGAAATTTCTTACTTGTTTGGCGCCAACTGTCAAAGCTTGAGTTTTAACTTTTCACCTCCATTCAGAGAGTCAAAAATACATACAAAGCTACCAAAATGCTTAGTTTCGGGTAAAAACCCATGAATACTTCTCATTTTCTACACACAAACAAGAAAGAATTACAATGACAGAGAAATATCAGAAGTTATCAGTACTTTCAAAACACCATGTCTGAGTTTTTAAAAAATTTGACCGGGGCAATCATTCGAATATGTCCCCTGCCCCCTTAAGATTCAAACTTGAAACTTAATAGGTGGAGGGACCTCACCAAGGAGGCGTGATTTGTACATGCAAGAATAATTACTCCACCCTTCAATTTCTCGGAGTTCTTGTCTGTTGTTATTTTTATCACGATGCCTATTTTTAAACGGAAGCATAGCTCAAAAGTTATCAGCTCTTAGCCTAGCAATAAATAAGTTTAACAAAATAAATATGGGATAATCTTGCTGTTTGAAATTCCTTTGGATATTGTTATCGAAAAATAAGGTCATAGGAAATTAAAAAAAAGAAGCAGTCACGAACTGCCATAGCACCCGCCAAACAAGATACACTGGAGTACATTGACACTAAAATACACATCAAGGTGCAATAATTATTAGCCGGAATGAGCTGTATTACTCAATATTTTTTTAGTTTAACCAATCCATGTTTTCGAGCTGTGTTCCATACAGTATCAGTAGGATGTATTAGGTTATGAAGTTAATATCACAAATAATGTTTTTTCGAGTTATGTCTAGACGAAAAATTAAACATGAACCTAGAAATGTGACCATAGGACATTTAAGCGCCACTATTGTTTCTGTCGCAGTGGAATATGTATAAACGTACGCATATTTTATGAAGTCAAATGTTATATAAATAAATAATTATATAATAAATAAAGAAAAACAGAATCCCTAATAAAGAAAGTCCAACACGGTAATATTGAAAATGTTGCAGCCACGGTTTGACTGAGCCTGTTCATGGACAGTACTAGAAAGTGCAAGTCCCTCTAGCACCAGACTCAATATTTGCAATGAAAACAAAATGTAATTGTATCATAACTAATGGTTTAACAAACCTGACAAAACACTTGTTCTTCATTTAATGTGTTACTAGACCGTGACATTATGACCCGCAAAACCAATGACCTCTTAACCAATATCTTTTATCTTGAGGTCATGATCAAACTCCATACGAAATTTTAAGATTGGAGGCTCAGTCTTTCTCTAATTATTGGTCGAACAAGATTTTAGTGGACAAGGACGCAGTCACCTTGACCCTTGACAAATTACTTCATAATCAATGGAGGTCACATACTAGTCATTATCAAACTTTACAACAAATACAAGGTCTTTCAAGCTTTTATAAAAACCATGGTAACCTTAATCTAACCTTTCAACTTTTGATATCAAAAAATTGATCTTAAAATCGATTGGGATCATCTACATGTACTAGTCATGATTAACCTGATAAATTGTTACGGTTGTTGGCTAAAGAGCCATCTAAGTATTGGTTGGAAAATCCTTAAATATTTTTTACCTTAAGAACCTGATCTTTTGGCCAATTGTACAGACGGTGTGTTACTGTATATTTGTCTCTAAGAGACATTTATTTTATGTGGATTTTACAGGGGGTTCGACTTGGGCAAATTCTGTTAGACAAGCACAATACCTTCTTCGGGATTCGGAGCTCCTGTGACACTCTGTAGAACTTGGGTCTCTCCTTTCGCTCCCTTTACGTCAACTTTCACATTAACTCGGCCAGAATGTAAGCAAGTAGGAAATATATAGCCAGAATATATTCCGTCGTCAATAAATGAATCTGGGTCTGAAATGATGCAAAAAGAATATAACAAGTCAGATAAATAAACTAGAGAACTCTAAGTTAACTCTTTAACTGTCTGGGAACTTATGATAAATATGATATACATGGCCAATGGTGATTTATGTGATTTCATAACGTGGCACTTCCTGTTCTCCGCTACTCTTTTTATCAAACCGCCTAAACTCAAAAATGTTTGTGGTGTCTGCTTTATATTTTTAGCAGCTGTAGACGATTTTGAATGTTACAAAGAGATTACATCAATTTAAATCATTTTATATTTAGTCCAGGTACAGATATCATTAACATCTAAATTTCTAAGGAATAATACGGAAACTGTGGTTAATGATTTGTCTGGCATTTCCTTGTTTATGCATGTATCAGCTCTATGTTTTATCTGAAGGTAATATCACATTTGCCAACGTTTCGTTAACTTCCTATGACAATTTACGCAAATGTTATAGAAAATCCCAAACACTGGTTATTGCGCTTTTAATTTTCAATATATTTTAGAAGTAAGAAAAGCTCTTAGCAGTTATTTCGTCCATGACATTGTTTGAAATATGTACTCATATACCAAGAGCCTTTACTTTTTGGAACGTACTTTGAGGAGAAAAATAACATTGAGGTAATTTTTAATATAAAACACGGTTCGAACTGAATGAGTTTTTATTTCCAAACAAAACGTAAGGGCAAGGCCCATCTATGAAACATTCGATTTTTTATAGACACTTTGTATAAAAATGATGATTTTGCAGTTCCATGTCCGAATGAATATATGTTACCTTACTAAAGATTAGTCAGCAGTTTTGTTTTCCCACAATGTATTGCTCATAACCAAAAACTATGATGTCTGGTCGGAAATTCCGTAAAATATAGTATGAAAATAGTAAAGCGTATCTATTATTAGGGATATTTGAACAGTTGTGGATATAACGAAAACACATTCATCATCTTCGCTTACTAGCTTGTGCCATTATCAAAACCGAGCACGTGCCATAATAAAAAATTATATGTTTGTATAACTTACGTAAGGTCATTGGCCAAACGTTGATAATTTAAAGCGAAATTTACTCCATTCCAAATGAAAGAAAGCAAACCATTTGAAAAATTATTACTTATAGAACCAATAGTTTTTTAAATGAATGGCTTTTTCTAATATTTGAAGATCTATTTGATTTTGATGTTTTACCTTTTACATATATTTAAATCAGTAATACAAATGTAACTTAACTCCAATAAGGCAAATGCTGGAGTCGGCTTGATTTAAAACTAGACTTTAAATGACAACATAGAAAGAATATTTCTTACCTATCCCGTCATCCATTAGTTTCACGTCGCAGATATGGTTACCTGTCTCTACATGGGCTGTAACTGTTGCATTAAGAATTGGTAAATACCCTTTTGAGACTTCAGAGAAAATAATTGGTAGATCGCCAGTAGATAAATCAATATTACTGGTTGAGAGCAATGACGTCACTCTGACTATGTCGTCACTGGTAGCATCTGATTTTGCGAAATACTCTACAGTTCTTGGCATCGTTCCGGTCGTGACTATCATTTCATATTCTCCGGCCTGTTAATAAGACAAAATAACGGCGTGATTTAATACCAAAAGGACATTCTGGCAAAAATATAGGAAACTAAATTCGAATCCATTAAGAACTGCTTTGAAAGTGATCGGTGAAGTCATTTTTTCCTAAACCACTGTCTTATCCGACTTATTTATTTAAGTACTTGATAAATAGAAGCTTTTGACTCTGTTGTGTTTTATGTAGAAATATTTATGGGCGCAGAAGTTCTTGTCATCTATTTCTATCGGTTATCTACCGGAATGAGTACAACATCACCTACTTGTGCAGTACCGGGAATTGATAAAGTTGTTATGCTTCCATGACTTTCAATAAACTGATTATAGTCGTTTGGGCCGGTCAGTTCAAATTTGACGTCTGTGTCCGTGGGCGTTATGAAGGAAAACGTTGTGTCACCACCCAATCCTTTTTCTAGAGCAAACGATATATTATGTTGGTTTGTATCCACCGAATTCATTTTATGTGCCATCAACTGAAAAAGATGTTCATTTTATGACATTATATAAGGGTTAAAGAAATATGAAATTAAGATGTAATTTATTAGGTCCAAATCCTAAAATAATTAGTTTACTACCATTTTAAGTATATGTTAACTAGTGTTCATTCATGCATTTCTATAGATATTAGAAACTTTGACGTAAGCGATAGCGATGAGCTGCGGATGAATACAAACATCCTTAGTGTCAAGCTTTATTTCGCTTCATAATATTCACTTTATTACGTCACGACTCTTTCGTCGTTCTATGGAAAATATAAGGTGACTATGAATTGAATTTGATATACCCGGTAGTATGAATATGATATAGTATCGACTTTTCTTCTATGAATATATACAAACTTCTTCTATGAATATAGAACATTTTCAATTTTGCCGTGTTGGGCTTTCTTTAGGGATTCTGTATTTATCTATTCTATTGATTGAGCCTGTTCATGGACGGTACTGGAAAGTGCAAGTTACGGTCCACGCCCAAAAGCACCGGCTTAAGCAGAATTCAACATTTAAACATGAAATAGTAAAAATTTGAATTTAGAAACATCCGCAGATGTGTTCATACGGCGGTTATCATGGAACCTTCAATGTGACACTTCCGTGCCATTCCATGAAAAGTGGCGTATGGTCCCCAAGTAATAAAAAGCGTGTGCCCTAAACGAGAAAACAATGGGCAGAACTAAATAAAATGGAATTTTGAAAGGGGATCAGAGGTTATGAAGCCTGCGTATCACAGATAGGACGTCAAAAGACAAATTTAAAAAGCAAGCCTCATATCCTTAGGGTGATTCAACATTATTCAAGTAGGAATATTGGAACCAACCAACTAGAAAATGCCGAAAAGTTGAAACTAAAAATACCACAAGCACAACAATAATGTCGTGCTGAACGATCTTCAAGGATCGAAAATATAACATCATTGAATAAATGTACGGGAGACTTTTTACAGCCGACACACAGCACAAATAACACGGATGTGATCATAAAATAGATAAATATATAAACCATCTGGATATATCATGATTTCACAATTTGAGGCATTCGTTTTCTATCTATTCAGCTTAATGAGTTAAGTTTGCACTTTTATTAAAATTACAAATAGGTAAAAATATTACTAATTGTAAGTACTAAAAGAAGGCGATTATATACTGGTTTTGTTTTGAAATATTCATAAAATACCAAGTAGAAACAAGCACGTACAATGAGGTAACAAGAAGCAACAAACCTTACGATGAGATAACAAAAAACAACAAGAAGAAACAATGAGATAACAAGTAGCAACAAGCAGAAACAATGAGATAACAAGTAGCAAAAAGCACTGACAATGATATATACCAAGTAGCAACAAGCACTACCAATGAGATACCAAGTAGCAACAAGCAAGACAATGAGATAACAAGTAGCAACAAACATGACCAATGAGATAACAAGTACCAACAACCAAGAACAATGAGATATCAAGTAGCAACAACCAGGAACAATGAGATACCAAGAAGCAACAAGCAAAAACAAGGCGATAACAAGCAGCAACAAGCAGTAACAATGACATATCAAGTAGCAAAAGGCAGGAACAATGATATACCAAGTAGCAACAAGCACAAACAATAAGATACCAAGTAGCAACAAGCACTACCAATGAGATACCAAGTAGCAACAAGCAAGACAATGAGATAACAAGTAGCAACAAACATGACCAATGAGATAACAAGTACCAACAACCAAGAACAATGAGATATCAAGTAGCAACAACCAGGAACAATGAGATACCAAGAAGCAACAAGCAAAAACAAGGCGATAACAAGCAGCAACAAGCAGTAACAATGACATATCAAGTAGCAAAAGGCAGGAACAATGATATACCAAGTAGCAACAAGCACAAACAATAAGATACCAAGTAGCAACAAGCACGTACAATGAGATACCAAGTAGCAACAAGCACGTACAATCAGATAACAAGTAGCAAAAAAGCATTAACTATGAGATAACAAGCAGCAACAAGCGGGAACAATGAGATACCAATTACCAACAAGCAGGAACAATGAGATACCTAGCAGCAACAAGCACATACAATGAGAAAACAAGTAGCAACAAGCACATAGAATGATATAACAAGAAGCAACAAGCACAAATAATGAGATACCAAGTAGCAACAAGCACGTACAATGATATAAAAAGAAGCAACAAGCACAAACAATGAGATACAAAGGAGCAACAAGCAGGAACAATGAGATACCTAGTAGTAACAAGCACATACAATGAGATACCTAGTAGAAAAATGCACATACTGAAACGTACCCGGGGTCTGCTCGCCCGGACACACTTCAATATCGACATGTGGGTTCTTCTCAAACACACGTAAATGGATAAGGGAAAATAGGGACACAAGGACTAAAAGATACGGACACCTGAAATAAGATTAACACAACAATTTATTAAATATACATTTCACAAACAATGAAATTGATATATAGTATATTCTGTGGATGGCTCTGGCTTGGGCTCCTCGTCTTAGGTCAGGAATATTCTTCTGTTACGTCTAGAATGATGTATAATATAAGATGAAATGAAAGGCTTGACAAATACGGTGTCACGTCTTGCCTGTGGTCTGGTACAAATTCTATGGTAGGAATTACCATGAAATGCTATAGGGTTGATGGGGTATCTAAAATGGTAACTACAAAATACAGTGGTGTTCTACCCTGGTATATGGGTATCACTATAAAATATGGGATTATGGCTATGGAAACTTGGTCTTCAGTCAGGATCTATCATAAATGGTAAATAATGCCAAACTGCCAAACTAGATGATTAAATATAAAGCTTCTATATAAACTATTACTGGCATAAAGTATTATATACCTTTCTGGTGGCTGGAGATACATCCATATTCAATATAGTATAGATGTGGTCTGGTGGCTATCTACCAAGGTACTGACAATTTTGGCAGATTCGGGCTGCTATTTATAGTCTGGGACGCTGGGTGGCTAGCTTGGCTAGGGTGCCTAGCTTGGCAGTATCGTCATCGTCTCCGATGACGTCACTGCCTAGCTCGCGCGGGCAGAAATTTAGCCAGTGCCAGCTGCCATGTTTAAATTGGCAGCGTGTGGCTAATTGATCATAAAAACGGCTACAACGTAGAATACGAGGGTTGTTCAAAAAGTAATAGGACTGCAGCTCTAATGTTCACATTTTATATAAGTTATTTTAAGTAATATAACCATTGTAAATATTAAAAGGATGAAGTTATCTATGCATGCAGTGTATGTATTGATGATTAAAAGTCGATGTCATGAAGTAGAGTTAATTACTTCAGTACTTGAGTAGTTTCCGGATACGGGTTTATTTTCGGACGTAAAATGATGGGCTTGATCGTTACAATACAATGAGATACCAAGTAGCAAAAAGCAGGAACAATGAGAAACCTAGTAGCATCAAGCAAGAACAATGAGATAACAAGGAACATATACTAAGTAGCAACAAGCAGGAACAGTGAGAAACTTAGTAACAACAACAAATACAATGAGATACCAATTAGCAACAAGCGCGTACAATGATATAACGAGAAGCAACAAGCACAAACAATAAGATACCAAGAAGCAACAAGCACGTACAATGAGATACCAAGTAGCAACAAGCACATACATCGAGATACCAAGTAGCAACAAGCAAGTACAATGAGATACCAGGTAGCAACAAGCACGTACAATGAGATACCAAGTAGCAACAAGCAAGAACAATGAGATAACAAGGAACAACAAGCACGAACAATGAGATAACAAGTAGCAACAAGCAAATAAAAAGAAAGGTTCCTAATCGTCTCTACATGCTTAAATTATTACATGCTATATTTGCAATTTCTTACCATGACATTTTTATTTCTTGCAGAAGTTAAACCACCGGAAAGAGTTTCAGAGAATGCACCAAGAAGACTTATACCTCCATTGTCTAAATACGTGTAATATTTGCCGCCAGTTTCTCGTGCAATATCACCAAGTAAATGATCCGCTTGTTGAGATATAGCTATAGTGTGGACAGTTATTTTGGCATTAATCACTTCTTGTCTGGCATCGTTAACATGGACATTGACAGCGTCGGGTTCATCTGATGAATCTTCTCCGTCAGATATGAGAATTATTTCACCTTGTGAAACAGTTCCGAGCTTCTTTGTTAAAAGCTAGTTTAAAAATATAAACAATAATCTAGTTTATACGTGTGTACGTTTTTATTTCTCGTTGTTTATACTTAAAAAGGGGGAGACACACTTTATACCTATGTAGACGCTATAACTACCTTCAGTTAATCTTTTAACGTGATATTCAACTCTGAATGTACCTAGTTGCAAAAGAAAGCGCGCTCTTGTCTAAAGCAGGCTGTCAACCAATTCCTATATTCCTATAAAACTCCTATATTGTGGGTCGGAATCCTATATTTTAAAAAACCTCCTATTTTTCCTATATTCTCCTATATTTTGAATATTTTTCCTATATTTTTTTTAAAATATATTGCCGAGGAATTCAAAGAGATTTAAATTTTGGTACTGCTTTTGGCCTTTTGTATTTTACAGGTAAGAGAATGTGTATGCCTGCATCAGCATCACATTACTATGCTCAAGGCTGCTGTGCTCCACATAGCCATCGAAAAGCACTGTGCATCAGTATGTCAACTTTATTTCAGGGGACCTGTAATTCAGATGATGGTCATGCATTGCTGTAACTTTCTGCTGATGGTGTGGTTCAAAGCTAATGCAGGCTGTCCAGCATCCCTTAAATTCCTAAAAAAGTGAAACATTTGAAGGGAATTCCTAAAAATGCCCTATTTTTTCACTGAAATTCCTAATTATTTTTATCTTTCGTACTAAACATACTTATAACTTGTAACCCTGTAAACATAACTCAAAGTCGACCATGTTTTGAACATTGTCAAAAATTATTTGGCCATGATTTGCCAACTCAAAATTGATGACATTGAAATGGTTTCGTTTCAACTAAAAGTTACTTTGACTATGTCAGTAACATTGCTATTTCATAATCAAAGAAGTTGTTGATAAACATGTTGACAGTTAACAGCAAAAACACTACCATATCATTGTCCTGAAACTTTAAACATAACCATAAAAGTCCACTTATTCTGGAATATTAAGACACTGTTTTGCCAACTCCAGATATCTTGAATTTTATGTTTGTTCATTTTATCCAAATTTCTGAAGTGGTCCATTTGTATCATATCATATTTGAAAATGATCATTATGAAGCTGTTGTAACACAATCTTAATTAAAAACATGTATAAATAGTTGTAAAAAAATAATGTACAATTTGTTTACTCACAACTCTTTTATTTAAATCTGCATAATATCAATACAACATTGTAAAGTACTGAATGGGTTAACATAGACTTTGAAAAATTAATTCTTTCCCTCATACTTATTCTTTTTGTATCTTTGTAGGAGAAATTGCTTATTTTGCCACAAAGTTATCAATTTTATTCAGTTCTTGTTCTTTCATCCATATGGTGCAATTTATGAAAGGCAGACTCATATAATTAATCACACTCAAAATAATTTTGCAGTTCAGTAATATAAAGCTCATTTCCAATTACAATGTACTTACATTTTGCAATTATGTGATCTAGATAAACTGCTATTGAATGGTCTGCGTGATGAACTTTTTTGATGTGCAATTCTTTGTGTTGATTATAGATGCTTCCCATTTATTCAAATGACTGTACTAAGGCAAAATAATGCCTTTTTACTTTTTACCTACTTTTACAAAAAAATTCATTTGTCCATAATTATGATTCAAAAGCTGCATTGTGCAAGAATTTCACTGTATAAGAATTTCTTTTAGACACTTGTGGTTATAACATTCCCAAAACATAGGTAGAACATGTTCTTTTTGACATGTTCAGCCATTTTAAAAAAATATGGTTTGAACATGTTCGTGGAGTACGCAGGCTAACGGGCTGACAGTCTAGCGGGCTAACAGTGTGAACTGGGCGGGCTAGCAGTCTAGCGGGCTAACAGTGTGAACTGGGCGGGCTAGCAGTCTAGCGAGCTAACAGTGTGAACTGAGCGGGCTAGCAGTCTAGCGGGCTAACAGTGTGAACTGAACGGGCTGGCAGTCTAGCGGGATAACAGTGTGAACAGGGCGGGCTGGCTGGCCGGTGGGCTAACAGTGTGAACTGGGCGGGCTAACAGTGTAGCGGGCTAGCAGTGTGAAGTGGGCGGGCTGGCGGGCCAGCGGGCTAAAATCTAAAACTTTATTGATTGAACATAAAAATGTTATGATACATTACGTGGCAGTGTGAAGTGGGCGGGCTAACAGTGTAGCGGTTTAGCAGTGTGAACTGGGCGGGCTGGCCGGCCAGCGGGCTAAAATCTTAAACTTTATTGATTGAACATAAAAATGTTATGATACATTACCTAGCAGTGTGAATTGGACGGGCTGACAGTGTAGCGGGCTAGCAGTGTGAACTGGGCGGGCTAGCGGGCCAGCGGGCTAAAATCTAAAACTTTATTGATTGAACATAAAAATGTTATGATACATTACGTGGCAGTGTGAAGTGGGCGGGCTAACAGTGTAGCGGGATAGCAGTGTGAACTGGGCGGGCTGGCGGGCCAGCGGGCTAAAATCTTAAACTTTATTGATTGAACATAAAAATGGTATGATACATTACCCAGCAGTGTGAATTGGACGGGCTGACAGTGTAGCGGGCTAGCAGTGTGAACTTGGCGGGCTGGCGGGCCAGCGGTATAAAATTTAAAACTTTATTGATTGAACATAAAAACTTTATGATACATTACCTGGCAGTGTGAAGTGGGCGGGCTAGCAGTGTAGCGGGCTAGCAGTGTGAACTGGGCGGGCTAGCGGGCCAGCGGGCTAAAATCTAAAACTTTATTGATTGAACATAAAAATGTTATGATACATTACCTGGCAGTGTGAAGTGGGCGGGCTAACAGTGTAGCGGGATAGCAGTGTGAACTGGGCGGGCTGGCGGGCCAGCGGGCTAAAATCTTAAACTTTATTGATTGAACATAAAAATGTTATGATACATTACCCAGCAGTGTGAATTGGACGGGCTGACAGTGTAGCGGGCTAGCAGTGTGAACTTGGCGGGCTGGCGGGCCAGCGGTATAAAATTTAAAACTTTATTGATTGAACATAAAAACGTTATGATACATTACCTGGCAGTGTGAAGTGGGCGGGCTAGCAGTGTAGCGTGCTAGCAGTGTGAACTGGGCGGGCTGGCGGGCCAGCGGGCTAAAATCTAAAACTTTATTGATTCAACATTAAAACCTCATGATACATTTCCTGGCAGTGTGAATTGGACGGGCTGACAGTGTAGCGGGCTAGCAGTGTGAACTGGGCGGGCTGGCGGGTCAGCGGGCTAAAATCTAAAACTTTATTGATTGAACATTAAAACCTCATGATACATTTCTTAGCAGTGTGAATTGGACGGGCTGACAGTGTAGCGGGCTAGCAGTGTGAACTGGGCGGCCTGGCGGGCCAACGGGCTAAAATCTAAAACTTTATTGATTGAACATAAAAACGTTACGATACATTACCTGGCAGTGTGAAGTGGGCGGGCTAACAGTGTACCGGTTTAGCAGTGTGAACTTGGCGGGCTGGCGGGCCAGCGGGCTAAAATCTAAAACTTTATTGATTGAACATAAAAACGTTTATGATACATTACCTGGCAGTGTGAATTGGACGGGCTGACAGTGTAGCGGGATAGCAGTGTGAACTGGGCGGGCTGGCGGGCCAGCGGGCTATAATCTAAAACTTTATTGATCGAACATAAAAATGTTATGATACATTACCTGGCAGTGTGAAGTGGGCGGGCTAAATAGTGTAGCGGGCTAGCAGTGTGAACTGGGCGGGCTGGCGGGCCAGCGGGCTAAAAACTAAAACTTTATTGATTGAACATAAGAACGTTATGATACATTACCTGGCAGTGTGAAGTGGACGGGCTAGCAGTGTAGCGGGCTAGCAGTGTGAACTGGGCGGGCTGGCGGGCCAGCGGGCTACAATCTAAAACTTTATTGATTCAACATTAAAACCTTATGATACATTTCCTGGCAGTGTGAATTGGACGGGCTGAACATGTAGCGGGCTAGCAGTGTGAATTGGGCGGGCTGGCGGGCCAACGGGCTAAAATCTAAAACTTTATTGATTGAACATAAAAACGTTATGATACATTACCTGGCAGTGTGAAGTGGGCGGGCTAGCAGTGTAGCGGGATAGCAGTGTGAATTGGGCGGGCTGGCGGGCCAGCGGGTTAAAATCTAAAACTTTATTGACTGAACATTAAAACCTCATGATACATTTCCTAGCAGTGTGAATTGGACGGGCTGACAGTGTAGGGGGCTAGCAGTGTGAACTGGGCGGGCTGGCGGGCCAATGGGCTAAAATCTTAATCTTTATTGATTGAACATAAAAACGTTATGATACATTACCTGGCAGTGTGAAGTCGGCGGGCTAGCAGTGTAGCGGGCTAGCAGTGTGAACTGGGCGGGCTGGCGGGCCAACGGGCTAAAATCTAAAACTTTATTGATTGAACATAAAAACGTTACGATACATTACCTGGCAGTGTGAAGTGGGCGGGCTAACAGTGTAGCGGGCTAGCAGTGTGAACTGGGCGGGCTGGCGGGCCAGCGGGCTATAATCTAAAACTTTATTGATTGAACATAAAAACGTTATAATACATTACCTGGCATTGTGAAGTGGGCGGGCTAGCAGTGTAGCGGGCTAGCAGTGTGAACTGGGCGGGCTGGCGGGCCAGCGGGCTAAAATCTAAAACTTTATTGATTGAACATAAAAACGTTATGAAACATTACCTGGCAGTGTGAAGTGGGCGGGCTAGCAGTGTAGCGGGCTAGCAGTGTGAACTGGGCGGGCTGGCGGGTTAGCGGGCTAAAATCTAAAACTTTATTGATTCAACATTAAAACCTCATGATACATTTCCTAGCAGTGTGAATTGGACGGGCTGACAGTGTAGCGGGCTAGCTGTGTGAACTTGACGGATTAACAGTGTAGCGGGCTAGCAGTGTGAACTGGGCGGGCTGGCGGGCCAGGGGGCTAAAATCTAAAACTTAATTGATTCAACATTAAAACCTTATGATACATTTCCTAGCAGTGTGAATTGGACGGGCTGACAGTGTAGCGGGCTAGCTGTGTGAACTTGACGGGTTAACAGTGTAGCGGGCTAGCAGTGTGAACTGGGCGGGCTGGCGGGCCAGCGGGCTAAAATCTTAAACTTTATTGATTGAACATAAAAATGTTATGATACATTACCTAGCAGTGTGAAGTGGGCGGGCAAACAGTGTAGCGGGCTAGCAGTGTGAACTGGGCAGGCTGGCGGGCCAGCGGGCTAAACTTTAATACTTAATTGTATCAACATGAAAACCTGATGATATATATTTCTTAGAAGTGTGACAATATGAAAACCTCATGATACATTTCTAAGAAGTGTGAAGTGGGAGGGCTGGCGTGTTCATGATTCATTAACTGAAGTCGGCGTTTTTTCATCATGGCAAAGAAACAGGCACAGTTATGGACTTACAAAAGGCTTAAAACCAAAACCTTTGTACTCGAGCCAACTTGTGGCGAACTGGTTAATATACCGGACTCTCAGTCCAGGGGCAGAAATTTTTCTGGGGTCACTCCTGTCAAACATTCCGTATTAAATTTAAACCATGGTCTCAACCAACCAGGGATGGTTAAGGAACTGGCATCTTTTGTTTTAATAGCAAAATCTAGACATTTTTAAAACCCCTAATCCCGACAGGCTGAAACAAACTACGGACATTTACACTTAATTTAAGTGCTTTGACCGAGTATACTCAGCCTTTGCGAACATCGTAGATCCACATCAGTCGGTGCGCATTCGCGCCGTCTGCCAAGAATCTACACTGTTTACTGCCCAACCACTGAGTATGATTCTAGTGTCCAGGCACCGAACATTGTGGAACCTGATCAACCGGCTCTTGTTTGCGCCTATTGATATAACTCAAAAACGAGAACGGTGACCCCAAATTATTTTTTGCTTAAAATGTTTCTGTTTTCATATTTTAACAACATGCCAAGTTTAAAGAAATTCTATTGAACAGTTTTTATTTTGCCTATATGCCTATATGAAAACTCCCGAAAACGTCATTAAGGGTAAAAAAATAAAATATCAACCATAAGAGTTTTTGTCGTCTTTTTATTAATCAAAAAATTTTTATGTTGAATCAATAAAGTTTTAGATTTTAGCCCGCTGGCCCGCCAGCCCGCCCAGTTCACACTGCTAGCCCGCCAAACTGGTAGCCCGTCCTATTCACACTGTTAGGAAATGTATCATGAGGTTTTAATGTTGAATCAATAAAGTTTTAGATTTTAGCCCGCTGGCCCGCCAGCCCGCCCAGTTCACACTGCTAGCCCGCTACACTATTATTCCGCCGACTTCACACTGCCAGGTAATGTATCATAACGTTTTTATGTTCAATCAATAAAGTTTTAGATTTTAGCCCGCTGGCCCGCCAGCCCGCCCAGTTCATACTGCTAGCCCGCTACACTGTTAGCCCGCCCACTTCACACTGCCAGGTAATGTATCATAACATTTTTATGTTCAATCAATAAAGTTTTAGATTTTAGCCCGCTGGCCCGCCAGCCTGCCCAGTTCACACTGCTAGCCCGCTACACTGTTAGCCGCCCACTTCACACTGCCAGGTGATGTATCATAACATTTCTATTTTCAATCAATAAAGTTTTAGATTTTAGCCCGCTGGCCCGCCAGCCCGCCCAGTTCACACTGCTAGCCGCTACACTGTTAGCCCGTCCACTTCACACTGCCAGGTAATGTATCGTAACGTTTTTATGTTCAATCAATAAAGTTTTAGATTTTAGCCCGTTGGCCCGTCAGCCCGCCCAGTTCACACTGCTATCCCGCTACACTGTCAGCCCGTCCAATTCACACTGCTAGGAAATGTATCATGACGTTTTAATATTCAATCAATAAAGTTTTAGATTTTAGCCCGCTGGCCCGCCAGCCCGCCAGTTCACACTGCTAGCCCGCTACACTGTCAGCCCGTCCAATTCACACTGCTAGGAAATGTATCATGAGGTTTTAATGTTCAATCAATAAAGTTTTAGATTTTAGCCCTCTGGCCGCTGGCCCGCCCAGTTCACACTGCTAGCCCGCTACACTGCTAGCCCCGCCCACTTCACAATGCCAGGTAATGTATCATAACGTTTTTATGTTCAATCAATAAAGTTTAAGATTTTAGCCCGCTGGCCCGCCAGCCCGCCCAGTTCACACTGCTAGCCGCTACACTGCTAGCCCGCCCACTTCACACTGCCAGGTAATGTATCATAACATTTTTATGTTCAATCAATAAAGTTTTAGATTTTAGACCGCTGGCCCGCCAGCCCGCCCAGTTCACACTGCTAGCCCGCTACACTGTCAGCCCGTCCTATTCACACTGTTAGAAAATGTATCATGAGGTTTTAATGTTGAATCTATAAAGTTTTAGATTTTAGCCCGCTGGCCCGCCAGCCGCCAGTTCACACTGCTAGCCCGCTACACTGTCAGCCCGTCCTATTCACACTGTTAGGACATGTATCATGAGGTTTTTAATGTTGAATCAATAAAGTTTTAGATTTTAGCCCGCTGGCCCGCCAGCCCGCCCAGTTCAGACTGCTAGCCCGCTACACTGCTAGCCCGTCCACTTCACACTGCCAAGTAATGTATCATAACGTTTTTATGTTGAATCAATAAAAATTTTGATTTTAGCCCGCTGGCCCGCCAGCCCGCCCAGTTCACACTGCCATTCCGCTAGACTGCTAGTCCGCCCAGTTCACACTGTTAGCCCGCTAAACTGCTAGCCCGCCCAGTTCACACTGTTAGCCCGCTAGACTGCTAGCCCGCCCACTTCACACTGTTATCCCGCTAGGCTGCTAGCCCGCGCAGTTCACACTGTTAGCCCGCTAGACTGCTAGCCCGCCCAGTTCACACTGTTAGCCCGCTAGGCTGCTAGCCCGCCCAGTTCACACTGTTAGCCCGCTAGACTGCTAGCCCGTTAGCCCGCGTACTTCACGCACATGGTTTGAACATGATTTGACTGTGACCATTTCTGCAGGGGATGCAGTTGACCAGTGAGTCCACACTGGTAGCACCTTTGCTCTATGACTAAACTAGAGCATTATTTGTGAGTTACTTTTGTGTCAAATATGCAAAGGTTAGCTCACATCGTGGTCTTTATGGACCTTAGTTTATTTAGTCATAAAATTGCAAATTTTAGCCCTAAAATTTCTATTACGTACCCTAAAATTCCTAATTTTAGCCCTAAAATTTCTGAAATATTACTGTAAAATTCGCCCTAATTTTATGTCGGAAGGTGCTGGACAGCCTGCTAATGGGTTCCTTCACTTATACGGTAAACATTTTATTGTAGAAACAGCATGTGCAAAGTAAGAATAATTTACATTTACATAAGCATTGGTAAGTTAAACAATTTAAGTTGAAAACTCCTATTTTTTTGCCTCAAAATGTTCCAAAAACTCCTATATTTCCTGCTAAAATATTCCTCCTTTATTTTGGATAAGACCTGGTTGACAGCCTGCTAAAGGGAAACTTTGTAACATATTTCAATATCATTAGAATTTTCTATAATAAAGCGAAGGGATGAAAAGTAAAAGTTTTAGACATATAAATTTTAAAGATGCTTTAAAGCATTTGGATGGTATGCCATTCCGGCTCCAACTCTATAGGAAGTTACATCTGTTCCATAATACGCGTAATACAACTAGTATACTGTCACGCATCAAGAAAAGAGTTAGCATTTTTTTTCTATAAAACATCACACTTTCCAAATGTAAACCCAAAATCAGACATAGGAGCTATATATTGTCATGATCCCACGTGGGCGCCGAATTCTCATAGGGAAGTGAAGCCTGGCTCGGACTCAGTGCCGGGAAACTCGGAATGCCGTTCCGCGGCCCTAGCTACTGAGCTACCCTTCCATATGCAGACGTTTTTGCATAATTCGTGAACAGTTCTACAGCATGACTCTTTTATGTAGTTTATCATATTATTACCGAATCATTCTGAACAGTTTTACTTAGAATAGGTAACATATTGCGCAACTGATTACAACATTATAATAAATGTTCCCACGCTTGGACATCTTGCGTGGCATATCGTTTCTTAATTTCCTAATGACATTTATTTCAATTATATTAAAAAAGTGAGAAACAAAGCTTATAAAAATGTATAACATTTACAAAAGAATGTAGAATACAAAAAGATATCATTTCAATTTACTTAAATTAAGCAATTTATCTTTTAATCACATACTCATTCAACCTACGACTCCGTAAAAGTCGTATTGCACGGCCGTTTTAATATATTTTGACGTCACGTTATTTATGTTCTACAAAAATAGCGTAAAGACGTGCTTAATGTTTTAGTTAAACCATGGTCAATGTTATAATAATTCCTTTTAAACAATTCTTATTTTAATGTATGTGATATAAAGAATATGATATTTGTGTAGCTTCATTATTCAATTTATTTATGGAGTTCATAGCTTAAGACTTGAAAAATTCAATTTCTTGAACTGGTTAAATTACTTTAGGTTTGAATCTACACTTAATCAACATTCTCGATATATCATACATTCACCAGATAATTAGCCTTGTGTTATAATCACATTCATTCAAGACAATAATATACCTTTTACTTCCCTCAAGACTGTAAAGTATTTATAAAATAATTGTTTGTTTCTTTCTTTTGTTTCGTTCCAACAAAATTTAGATCATATGGCGCTGAAACAGGAAAGATAATTTTGGCAAACATCGCGTGTTACAAACTTGCTTTAACATCACGTTTCAACATTCCCTCGCCTGCTGCAGCTAAGTGACGCATAGACTCCGGTGATTTGAACCCATTTAGCGGCCTCTTACGATCACGCAAGGATAAATAGTGGCTGCAATTACGATGCTTCAACCCTTAAAGGCAACCCTCAGGCCACAAGGTGCTTTACAAATATGAAAACATACCTTTTTTGCTTCTATCATACCACATCCCATACATGTCCTTCCTGAAGCTGAATCTGGGATTACGCTAATTAAATTTTTGCGGTCTTGCTGAGTGTTAATCTCAGTCAGGTCTTTCTTTACTGTAGCTGTTGTACCAAATGTAACAATTCCAACCCAGCTTCCTTTTAAGATCAACTGCTGTATTACATTTTCCATGGCATGTCTAAGGGTCTTAAGTCTTTCCCCCTAATAATAAAATATCGGATAAATATAAAGATATAAAATAGCTTCACATTAACTTAGAAAAAGAAAAAAAAGACAGGTAGTTAAAATGAAATATACAAAATAACAGTTTATAAGTAAAAACATGTTATCAGTGGTGTTGTTTTATTCTTAACACAGCGATCATAAACAAATAATGTTTCTATTGTTGATTTGATATTTTCTTCATGGGCTTATCTAGTATTTACACCTCAAGTCTTCAAAATACACACGTCAAGAGAAAGATGATGTAGGGTTGCGGTCGATGTCTAAAAGTGATGAGCAAAAATTGTTAGTCAAACCTTGAAGTTGAAACAGAATCATGCAGTCAAATTAAATTAATTAAAGCATTTTGAGACAATCTTGAAATCATGAGAAGATAACGAAGCAAACCTTAGTCATGAGAGGTTTATAAAGCAAACCTTAAAGTCATGAGAGGTTTATAAAACATACTTTTAAGTAATTAGAGATTTATGAAGCATAACTAAAACTCATGTAAAGATTTTGAAGCAGACCTTAATGTCATGAGAGGTTTGTGAAGCAAGCATTAAAGTCATGAGAGGTTTATGAAGCAAACCTTAAAGCCATTAGAGGTTTATGAAGCAGACTTTTAAGTCATAACATAACTCAAATTCATGTCAAGATTTTGAAGTTCACGTTAAAGTCATGAGAGGTTTATGAAACAAACCTTAAAGTCATGCGAGGTTTAGGAAGCAAACCTTAAAGTCATGAGAGGATTATGAAGCAAACCTTAAAGTCCTGAGAGGTTTATGAAGCAAACCTTAATGTCATGAGAGGTTTATGAAGCAAACCTTAATGTCATGAGAGGATTATGAAACAAACCTTAAAGTCATGAGACGATTATGAAGCAAACCTTAAACCCATGTCAAGATTTTGAAGCAGACCTTAAAGTCATGAGAGGATTATGAAACAAACCTTAAAGTCATGAGAGGATTATGGAACAATCCTTAAAGTCATGAGAGGATTATGAAGCAAACCTTAAAGTCGTGAACGATAATGAAGCAAACCTTAAAGCCATGCGAGGTTTATAAAGCAAACCTTAAAGTCATGCGAGGTTTATGAAGCTAACCTTAAAGTCATGAGAGGATTTTGAAGCAAACTTTTAAGTCATAAGAGGTTTATGAATCAAACTTATCAACTACTTAGAGTATTATGAAGCAACAGTTCGCATGGGCAAGCTCTTAATGTAATGAGAGGATTATTAAACAAACTTTAATGTAATGAGAGGAACACGAGGCATTCTTTAAAGTGTAAGGTTTAATGCATGGAGAGTATTTGCGGAAAACCTTCAAGTTTTAAAAGGATTAGAAAGCAAACTTTAAAACTGAGAGAGCTGTATGCAAGCCTTAAACCTCAACGAAGATTACTTAAAATGAAGTTGTACAGTACTATGCAAATACGAAAAGCATTAAAACGTTAATCACCTTAAAAATTCTCTATCAATTGGGCAAACAGACAGTAGTTTTATATAATGTATTTGTAAGAAAATAAACAAGTTCGAAAAATTCTTTCAATGTATATATTCAATTTGCGCATATTGTTCCTCTAATTTCCATTAAATGTTCTACATACATGTACAATAACTAGAGAAAATAAAAATGAACGAAATTAAAAAGAATAACCGCTACGTTGATAAAATCTGAATGTAAAATGTAAATGAAATGCATTCAAAAGTAGATATTCATCTATGTAAAATGTAAAACAAAGTAAAATGTTCATCTTTCTTTTACATCAGTATGTTTTATCTCTTTTTACAACTCGAAAATGTATAAAGTCTCAGATTAATTTAAAATGCAAATTAATCTGTTTTTGTTTTTTTGTTAGAAATTCAAATACAATTTTGTACAAATTACCTGCATACTTCCCGATGTATCTAATACAAACACACGATAACTCGTAGTTTCTTGTATTATTTCGAATTCTGGGACTGTATTTGTTGACACAGGGAGTTGTTTAGCATCTATAGGAATAAATAAAGTTAATTAGAAAGCAAAAATATATTGCAGAAGTGTAGTTTTAAGATAACAGTATATCATTTTAAAAGTGCAAGTTTTGGTGTAAAAAATAATTAGACCCTAATAACAAAATACTATTTGATTGTAAAAAAGGCTCAAGAAGTGCGATATTTGAGCGACTGTAGAATACTGTTTTGTTGACATTCTCTTCGTCTAGGATTGACTCCAAGTTTATGCGAAAAAGACGGTCATGAACTTTCAAATTTAAGCATTCCATTGATTTTAACAAGACCACGTTTATTTAGGAATAGATTAACGGTAACAAGTTCAGATACGATACATGTAAAATACTAGCGTGGGATGATATATCTGAAATGTCGTGTTACATAATATATTGTTGTGTTAAAGTTTCTGCCTCTCAACTCAAAAAGTATGGGTTTGAGCCCTAATCGGGTCGCGACCTTGTTTCTTCACATAAAAACAGTACAGGTTGGTTCCAGGAAGCAAGCTTGAATGTGATTAATGTTGCAAGAACTTGTTTTGCAATCGAGCTTAAATAGATATATTTTACAACACATTGTACTCGTAAATTGAGTGGTAGGGCTGCAATGATTCAGGCTTCAGTTGAAATATGTGGAGAGAACGTCTACTACTGAACAAGATAAAAGTCGGTCTAATATATACGTTTGATAGATTGCTCATGAAGTTATATTTTACAGATTCACAAAACTTTATGTGTAAGGATGAAATTTCAAACCTTGACATTCCTCATGTTACCATGATGCTACCTCAAAATATTATTTGTTTTGTCTTTAGTTTGTTCATGTAATCTTGTTGTGACTTATGCTTCCGAGGGATCACCCTTTCTCCAGATTTTTATTTTTAAATGCATATTTTAGCTCAAAAACTAGTAAACATTTTCTTCTTTAGAACGGGCGGTACAGAAACAAATTATTTTATTTCTTTTAGTCCTTTAGAAAGAGCAAAATTAGATTTTTTATAATGTTTGAATAATGGTTTTAGAGTATATTTTAGATGTTTGTTACCTGACGAAAGTAGCAATACATTCGAAATAGTTTGTCATTAAAGTAGCAAAATGTAAACACCGTAGTATTATGACACCATGCAAGATACTAATCCATTATAGCTTATATCTAAAAAGCAACAGACGAAAAGATGAATCATTAGTAAATGGCCAATGATTATCTTTTTTGATACTTTATATAAAAGTACACCACAATTAACAATCTTTTGAGAAATAAAAATAAATGCATTTCTTTGGAACAATGGACCTTTCATCGCCCAAATAAATGCCGCTCTTTACATTTTTATTTTATAGATTTATTGTATATGATGTAATAAGAAATATGTTTTGCTTTTCATACTTTGAAAATCGCTATGGGTTTTCATAACTTCCCAGGCACTTTTATAATTGCATTGTTTGTTATGAAAGGTTGGAGCATGTCTTTGGTGCCGGTGTTCCTTTTTCACTTCTTCGATATTCTGGTCACAAAACTCCGATAGCTAAAATATATAAAACGTGATCATGTTTTGAGTTTTTCCAATGTTTTGAAATTTAAAGATCGTCTGTCTATAAGGAAACTAATACATCAGTGCCCCGTCTTACGACCACCCCGTTTTCACGACCAATACGCTATTATGACCAATTAACGGCTTTTTTCTTCTTGTTTCACTGGTTCCATTGTCATTTTGACTTGTTTTTATCAAGAAAAATAATACAAGTCAATAAACTGATAGATTATCGGAAAGTGATTTATCTTTTACTATATGGAAGTAATATAACATATCAACTTGAAGTCAAGTCTGATTGTTAATTAAATAATTATCCTAATCTTATGTTAATTGTTACTATAAATCATTAAATATTTCGACTGCTTAAAATTTTTATATCTGCATACATCAAAAGTCTACATTGTTTAATATATTGTGTATGTTATGTTATTTATATTCGAACCGAATCAAGAAGATTTTAACATTGTTTGTTTAAGCATCGTGTGATCTTAAGTGTGTATAAATGATATTTTAAATTTCATGCATCAATTTTCCAAGGTAATAGCCTTTTCCTTTCAACATTTAAACCTTAAATATTTCGTATCGGATTTGGTATATGGTACAAATATAAAAAAAATCAGATGTGTAAAGTTGCCTGAGATGTGAATTGGAATTTAAGGTCTCAATCTATGCTTATAACGGAACAGTCATTTCCGACGAAGCCAAGGTTGACTTCTGCGGAACAGATCAATTCAATTCTTAATTCTTGAAATTAAAAAAAATATATATATATACTAATTAAAAAAACATTAAAACATTTAGTACTGTTGTTTGTCTATTAAGCACTAGACAACTGTACTTAAAGATTAAGTGCGTTTTAATATCTTGAATTTACCTTATCTATATATGAATATCCCATCAAACTAGCGTCGCTATCTTGTTTTGGATCCGGTTTAAAAACACAATCCTTGTGCATGGTTTTGCTAGAATCACTCAAGTCACATTTACTAGATTGTGTATACGTGGGTTTTAACACAACACTTCCTTTGATGTCGTCAGTGCACCTATAAAACAATTCAGACAACAACAGCTTTGTTTAGGGCACGAATAGTTTGTTTTCTTCTATAAAAGAAAAAGAGTAAGGAGTAGTTTTATAGCAATTCAATAATGCTTTAAGAACATGTTAGATACTTATCACCTAAAAACAGAAGCGCAGAATTTTAAATTATTTGTTATGAAAGAAGTTTAATGTAAACAAAGTAGTATTTCGACTTCCATACAAAATACTTAATCACTACAGCTGTGCTAATTGCCAAAAGGTAACAGAAGTAAAATACAAATTAGTGATTTGGGCAATGAGTGACTTTTCCAAACTTTAACAGGACATCAAAAATGAAATATTTCCTGGAAATAAAAAGAAAAGCATTTCTAAGGCTCAATGAGGCTTAAAAGCTGAATGTCTCCAGATGAGCCAAAAAATATATTACGAAAATCAAACTTGAGAAACATGCAAGATTTTATGAAAAGTAAAAAGATTTATGATTCAAGAAAATTGCTTTGCTTTGGGGAAATTTTTGGTTTATACCGAAATTTTTCTTCGTGACTGACGCAGAAAAAAACTATCTTCCCATTTAACCGTTTTAGAAATTTAAAGTGGATGCAATTTTTTTTGGGTTTTTTGTTTTTAACTTTTTTTCCTGGGAAAAAATAAAATCAATTTTCCGTGTTCCGGGGTTTTAACATATTAAACATTGGTTTTGTAAACATTTTTGTCTGATGAAAAACTTCTTTTTTCTTTAAATTTCCCTAACTAAAATACAACAAAATAAATTTTTTTCCGCCATAAATTGAATTATTTATAGATGACAAAAATATCAAATATTATTTAAAAGGGTGGGGGTATATTTTAAAAGAAATTTTGTTATGGGTTTTTTAAAAAGAAAAATATATGTTTTTATTTTTTTTTCCTGTTCTTAAAAAGCAAAGAATTATTTATTTCAACTAACAAAATGTGTTTTTTTTAAAATTAATTTAAATTTTCAAAAAACCAATAAAATCTAACAATGTAGTCCCCTTTTTTGGGGTTCATTTGCCATTGCGATAAAATTGTTTTCCTTTCTTTTGGAAATTAAATTTGAAAAAATTCCCCATTAAAGAGGGCCCCCACTCAGGGAAACGCCCAGGGTTACCTTTTTTGCTTTTAAAATTAATTTTTTAAAGGTACTTTATCCCATAAAAAATTGTTTTTTTTCTTCAAAAAGGGGGGGCCCAAACATCAGTTTTTAGCGAAAAAAGGTATGTTGGATGTTAAAATTATCCCCTGTTGAAAAAAGTAGCGAGCTTTTAAAATTATTTGTTATAAAAAAGCAAAAAAATGAAAAAAAAGTGTATTTCTTTTTTTCATACAAAATCCCAGTTAAATTAATTTTTAATAATTCCCAAAAAGGCAAATAAGAAAAAGAGGGTTCGGGAAATTACCCGTGGTATTTTTTGGAAGTTTTTTAACAGGAAAAACATAACTAAAAAGTTTCGGAAAAAAAGGAATAAAGATTTTGGGGGCGTTTTGGGCCCTTTATGTTTTTTAGGGCAAAGGTCAGGATTAGAATTCGAATTACTTTATTCGGGATCTTAAACCGGGTTTCCCTCAAGTTCACCCCAAATTTAATGGTTATTTCGGGTTGTAGGATGTTTTTACAACGACCTAATTTGTAATTTCTAAAACCAAAATGCCGTTCCCTTTTCCTAAAATAAACGGGGATAAAATAAAGTTGAAAATGCAAAGAAAGTCGGTCATATTTTTTGGATGTGCAGCGGGCCCGTATCTTTATTGGTGTCGGAGAAAATTCCTTTTTTCCCGTTGATTACAAAAAGGGTTTAAAATTTGCCCAAAAGTAATTGTTTTTTTCGTTTTGGAGCAGAAAAACCAATTTTTTATGTTTTTTTTAAATATTAGAAAAAGAGTTGTATATGAAAATTTAAATATGACGTGGTAAAAAAAATGGGGGTTTTTGACTTCCAAAAAATCAAATTCTCTCTATCTTTAAAAAGAAAAGAAGCACGAAATTCTCATTATATTTCCAATGAGCAATTTGGGTTTTAAAATAATAAAAAACCAAAACTGTAATAAACACCAAAGAAATGTTTCTAAAAGGAAATATTGTTTTTTTTAAAAGGGGTTTAAACGTCCTTTATATTTTTATTTTTAAAAATTTAGGTAGTAGGGGCCGTTTTAAAAGCGGTTATCCCTGACCTTTATGTTTTTAAAAAAACGGGTAGTAATCCAAAATTATTTTGCAAGTTTTCCCTGTTGTTGATTCGCTTGACTACCCAGCAAAAAAAAATCAAACTGCAATCCGCGAACAGGCCCGTTTCTTATTTTTTAAAAGTGGTGGGTTTTTAAAAGGTTTAAGGGGCCCAAATTTAAAAATGTTTTTTTGCGTGTAATATCAAATATTTTAAAAAAGGTGTTTTTTTCCGAGAAAAAATTATACTT